AAGTCTTCACAAATTCATTTGCTTTTTCATTTCTCTCACCTGACGAAATCTCATCATCCAAATCCGCCTTCTCTTGATTTGCTGAATCTTTCCCTTCCAAGGTATCTAAAAATAAATAAAGAATCAGACATATTGGGCTGTTCTTTAGAAAGTTCCTTTTAACGATGAAGGATAACGAATTTCTAGAAAGTAACCGCCTACTCCGCATACACCAAGAAAAATAATTGCACCTTTTTTCGTCCCTGTTATCTCAGTATTGTTGCTTTTTATTGTTCTCAAGCGTTTCAGTACTTTATTATTTGCGGCTGTCTGTTAATTCATTTTAAACCAAACTTTAGTTAATAAATCAGATTGATGATTGCAATATACTTCTACACTGTTTGAAGTTTAACTCAGTACCTGTGGAGCTGCCGATCTCTAAATCCTCAATTTTTCCAGGTGTCGACGAAATTTGAGTCTTATCCGGCTCTAAAATTAAAAAAAAAAAAGAGGATTTGAATGATCGTCGTCACCGTTTTCATCGTCATCAACGATATCATATTCTTGTTACTATTTATGTTTTCATTATCAATAGATTCTGTTTACTGTTCCCATAACAGAGAGATAAAAGAGTATGGAAATATATCCGGCCGACTAAACTCCACTTGGCCTTCCTCGCTTACCTGCTAACGGAGCATCCTTCATGTTCAGTTTTTTCTCAGTAGAAGCAGCGTCACTTTTTTCTGTCAATTAATTTACAAAGAAATGATTTTCAATTATTTTTGAGTTATCAACTGATAAAAGGGCAATTCATGGCCAATATATGTGATAGCGCGACTGTTAAGTGGTCTCTTAGATTGTTGAGATGCCAAGAATATTTGCTTTGCTCATCATAGTTGAAAACGTTCCGCTTACAATTGTCTTATCATTGATAATACAAAAAATCTCAAGAAGCTTTATTTCTTTTTCTTACCTAGTGAACTGTTGTCAGCAAAGTCCAGGCTTCCTCCAGCTGCTACAGGGGAGGCCTGGTGACCAACTAAAATACCAATACATATAAATAATAATAACACTCTAACATGTGAGAAACTAACGACTTTTATTTTCTTCATCTCATAATATATTCAAGGTTTTTCCCCTTGATGTAAAAATATCTAAGACCGAAACTAGTTGGAAAAGTTAAAAAAATTACATCGCATGATTACTGTGCAGATTAAGGTTGTAAAATAATTCTTCTTTATTTCTATCTTAAATATTGACGCACAAAAAGTTATTCAGTCCGTGTCAAATCTTTCGAAGCTCACTTGCTTTCCCAGTGTTTAATTGACGCTTAGGCTCACACATACTCTGAGTGTGTACTAATTACTTGTACCTGTTGATTTGCCGTCACCGTCATCTGATTCCTTTAATCCAAATTGACCTTGAAATGGTAAAGAAGAATATTTTACTTTAAGCAAAGAAAACTTTGAGCCGTAATAAATCAGTACTAGGTGCTTGCGTTTAATTTATTTTCTTTAGGTCTTTTTGTAGTCACAAACTTGAAAAGTGCAATTCATTTGTTGTTTCATTTCTCTCACCTGATGAAAGCTCATCATCCAAATGCACCTTTCCTTGGTTTACTGAGTCTTTCCCTTTAAAAGCATCTAAAATAAATTAAGAATCAAACATATTGCGCTGTTCTTGCGAAAGTTCCTTTAAACGATGAAGGATAATGAATTTCTAGAAGGTAACCCCCTACTCTGCATACATCAAGAAAAATAACTGCACCTTTTTTCACACGTTATATCAGTATTGTTGCTTTTTATTGTTCTCAAGTATTTCATTACTGTATAATATGTGGCTGCCAGTTAATTCATTGTGAACCAAAATTTAATTTATAAACCAGATTTTTTATTTTAATAATCTATACTGTTGATAGTTTAACTCTGTACCTGTGGAACTTTCGATCTCCAAATCCTCCAGTTTTCCAGATGCCGGTGAAACTTGAGTTTTCTCCGAGTCTAAAATTAAAAGAAAAGGGTATGAATGATAGTCCTCGTCGTTTTTATCGCTGCAACATCATCATATTTCTGTTACTACTTGTGTTTTCATCATCATTAGATTCTGTTTACCCCTCCCATAACCGTCTGGGTCATGTGACATGACATAATTGTATGAAATCCGCTTTATAAAAGATACTTTCCTACACGAAGATGTTTTATTGTAATCCAAGTCAGGCCTACTTACCTGCAACTGACGAAGAAGCTTTCAAATCCACTCCTTTATCACTGGAGGAAGCTTCACTTAATTTATCTTCCCCTGAAATTTCGTGGAAAAGATGTATCGTTACTAAGTTAAATTAAATGTGTTCTTGGATAAATTTAGTTTAACGCTTCTGAATGGTCGATTGTCTTTTTAAGTTTAGCTCGGTGCAGCATAAGTTTAGTTCAGTATGACTGGTCTAGTTTGTAACAACAAATGAAATAAAAAAAAGCCTGCTTATGATCAAGAACGCATATCAGACATTGAACTTGTCACACCCAACCAAATGGTATTCTATCACAGGCGACAAAGTTACGGCGAGAGACAAGCGAGGGGTGTAGTGCGTAATTAGACCTACATGATCATACAAATTCTAGAAGGATGAGTTGATTAACAACACGGATACTTTCTGTCCATCGTGAGGAAATATCTCAGGAAACATCTAAATCTGGTTTACTTTTGCCACGTACTCTTTACATGTAGCTACAATTTAAATCGATTAAAAATTTGGTGAGCCACTTTAATTAGAGAGGACAATACGGATCAAATGGAGTTACTTAGGCTTCAAATGTAACAAGGGGTAGACAAAGTAAATTACAAGACATTAACAGAACTGTCGTAAGAGGTTACAAGGAAACCAAAGCTATTCTCAGGATTCGAAAAAACAAATTTTAACGAAAATTGTGACGTCACTCTTCAAAGTTCCATTCTATGAACTGGTGAATTTTGAAAACCTAATACTTGTTAACTCCAGTTTCTTTATTTGTTTTGTTCCATCATTTTTTCTTGACGAGATGATGTCGAAGTGTAGCTCTCCAGCGGGCGTTAGCATGAATTTTGGAACTCGGCCGATCGGGTGAAACTTCAAGTGTAGTTACGGTTCAAAACTT